ATGACTTAACGACTAAACAATAAAAACAAAACCGCTTTGTTAATGTGTATATTGCAACAAGTAGTGGGATAAATAAAGTCTGCTGAAATTTCTGTGAGCTGGTTGGTGTGGCTCATTGTGTGCTTATTGTGTGCTTGCTTACACATAATGAACTTCCACCTCCACTATACTCACTACCAAGCCTGGAGCAGAAAAAAACAAGATGTGAAAAGGAAAGGATGGCCTATAGCCATGCTATTTAAGGCTCTTGAAACAAGCTGCCTGTAAAAAAACAAGGAGCAGTGTGGGATTAAAGACAACAACAACAACCTCAGGGTTGCAACCGAATTATGTTGGGGCAAACAACACCCAAGCAACACATCACCATAGTATATTTACTAAGATAGCACTCTGAATTTGAAAAGCTCAAAATTTCTAATCCATGTATAAATGTTTTTTCTTAAATGGGCAGGGAAAAAAACTGTGCAAAACCATTTTTTTAAAAAAAAAAATGCAAAGGCAAGAGAACATCATTTCATCTGCACCCTCTAATCCAGGGGTCTCAACCTCAATTTACCTGAGGGCTGCTGGAGACAGAGTCTGACTGAGGCTGGGCTGCATCAGATTTTCTGCCAAGTGGAGCAAGAGCCCGAGGAAGCTGCCCAGGAATTTCCTTAGCCTGGCTGGGGATCCGAGGAGGAGGAGGAGGGGCGTACGAGCCTTTGTCACTGGCCATAACCCCCTCCGGCTCCTTCTTGACTACCACCACCAGCAGCAGCAGAACAAAGAAGCGGAGAAGGGAGGGAGCATCAGCAACTGCCTAGCAGGGGGGAAGTGAGCACAACATAAAATTTTAAAAGAAACCCTCACAGAATCCCCTTGCCAAAGGAGAAAAGCCCCCATCGGTACTCGCAAAATTAAACAGAATGGGGCGGGTCCCCCCACAGGTGTGCCCGGGCGTACGTGCATGCACAGAAACACACACTCACACACAGAGGTCCCCCTCAAAAAAAAGTGCACTCAGCAGCAGCAGCTACCCCCACCATGACAGAGGAGCAAACTTTGCGAGGCAAGCCCAGGCAGCCTCCAGAGCCAAGGCAGCTGAAGCAGGACGAAGAGGAGGAGGAGGAGGAAGCACCACCGGGTGCTGAGGTGGCCGCTGGCCAGACTGGTGCTGGGGGGGCCAAGAGAGAGCCAGAGAGCCGCTTCCCCGGAAGAGGCGGTAGCAGGTGCTGTTGGCGGCTTGGAGGCGCTCTTCGAGGATGGGCTGGGAGCAAGCTCCAGTCTCAGGCATCACTTGGTGGTGGCTCGAGCACTTGGGGAAAAGGGCTGGCAGCGCACCTCGCTCACCGGCTCTCCCCCAAGACAGCACCTCTTGCACCCTCCATCCAGAACTGCAGCCTGCCAGCCGGCAGACAGGCAGGCTGTCTGGCAGGCTACAGTTCCAGATGGAGGATGCAAGAGGCACTGCCTTGGGGGAGAGACGGCGAATGAGGCGAGGCTTTTTTTGACTCTTGACAGCAGAGGATGGTTGGGTGCTTCGGGGGGTCAGGTAAGGCGGGGCCACAAAGTATCATCCAGCGGGCTGCAAATGGCCCCTGGGCTGCATGTTTGAGGCCCCTGCTCTAATCCAAAGAGGTTATTCTTAGATGTCAATTAAATGAATTTGACCATTTGTATGAGCACCTGTTGTTTAAGAGAGAATGTCATGCATCAGTCACATTTTTCTTGATGTTGCATGGCATGTGTGTGTGGTGTGTGTATATGTGTGTGTAGTATTGTGTTGCCTTTTTTTGCTTTTTTGAACACAAAGAAGCTTCTTAGAACACAGCTGTTCAAGGTTCATTTCTGTATGCTACACAGCCAATTCCTGCACTTTAGAAAAATAATGAACATATCGTACCCTTTCAACAAGCCACACATGGTTGTCAAAAAGTCATACCATTGTACAAAAGAGTTAAGCTTTTTTGGTTTTTTGTTTGGAAAAAAATAAGAAAGATCATGCAGGCAGAAATGTAGCCTCATTTGTCTTGCAAAACTATTAGAAAGCCAGCAGTGAGCTTCTTTTATGCACAATTACTGGCAGAAACCAAATTTGTGTTATTTAATATGTTAAATATTTATTTCTAAGACAGAAATTCTGAAGTGTCTAGTTTTAACTGAAAACATAAAAAAGGATTCCCCACCTTCATCCCAGTATACAGAACACATATAACTGATGTATATATGTGCTCTGTATAAATAAGAATTTTAGGTGTAGTTGTTAGGAAGAGATTTAATATAACACAAATTGATGCACCGTTGAAAGCCTCCATGGTGTGAACATGCATTAAGAATTATAACAATCACAATAATAATAGCACAAAGTTTCTCAATGTTATTTGCAGGTTCTTCAGCTCTAACTTTTCAGTCGTTAAATTCTCCCCAGCTTCATGTGCACTTGCTTGACAGGTATATTAACAGTGCACATTTCCTGCACAAAATGGGTTAGACTAGTGTTGGACTGTGTCTTAGACAGGGTTGCCAGATACATGGGTATCAAAAGGAGGACATAGAAAGGCAAAAAAAGAGAACAGATGAGGACGTATTGGGGGGTGGGCTCCGTACAAGGGTGGGGTTGGGGCGTGTCATGCTCGCGGGGGCATGTCGCTTTTGGAATTAGATATTAGCCTTTTGATCATAGGACAATACCATGACCATTCAACCTACTCAGTCTTTAAAGGTCAAGACCGGGAAAGTTACATTTTTGGACTACAAAACTCAGAATCCATTGACCACTGTGTTGTTTTAAAAAGTGTTGAAAAACATTAAAAAAAAAAACCCCAAACAAATCTACATATACACTTATTGGGCTCCCAGGACCAATGGAGACAATCTATTCCCTTCTTTAATGGAGACCCATCCCCCTTGTTTTATTTGTTTATTTGACTTTTTGATTTTTATAACACCCATCTGGCTGCCAAGGTCACTTCCCCTGAGGGGGAAGCAAGGCCACATTAAGCTACTGAGTCCTACCTTATTGAGCCAAGTAGGTCTAAGGACTACAAAGCTCATGTGTAACTTCCTATTGATTTTTCCTAAGGTTGAGCAAGTATCTTTTTAGGGTAGAATTGTAAGAAAACGTTTGTTGTACCAAGGACTCAATCTAGCTCCATAGGGGTGCTCAGATTTCTAATTACTCTCTGTCCGACCGATCAAGTTCTCCTTCACAGGAAACTGGTCGTGACAGGAAGGAAAGAAGGAAGGAAGGAAGGAAGGTTGGTTCTTGAAGAAGGCACAGCTGGCTTGCTGGCTGAAACCCAGCCATAAACAGCAATTTCTGTACTACACAGAAACATTCTGTATCACAAATTTTGTGCAGGTTAATGCTTGTCTCTAAACGAAATCCAGTGCAAACAATTGGTAGCAGAACATTTCTTATTCTTATTAAAGATAAATCTTACTTTTTAACTGTGGCAATAATCAAGTCCAAGCATGCCAGTTTATATTATTTACAACTGTAGGTCACCACAATATGAAATTGTGGTGATAAAGAATGTCCTTGTGGCATAAGGTAGGACAAGGAGAAGCACAGAAGTATAATCTCTCTTGCATGTTGAATACTAAATTAGTTTGCACTGATAAGACATTCTGCAAGCGCCTGTGAAATGGGCGGATGTTTCTAGAATTTGCTGGATCCTACCATATGTTGAGCTTTTGTTAAGTCCAAGGAGGATGCAGCTAGCTTTGCCAAGCTAGGAATGCATGCGCTGGTTGGCTTCTGTGATATATGCTTATAATTCTGTTTCTGGTAGTAAGACAGGATAGTATGCCCAGTGCTGTAATTGTGAGGAAAATCCTTTTTTTTTTCCTTCCAGATTTTTGAAGTGAGGAAGATGGAACTCAGATCTTATTGGCTGAAAGGGAAAATTGAATTCTTTAGTTAGAACTCAAGTCACTCCACATGGTTGCGCTTACAAAAATAAGCTGATGCAACTATCTCCCATTAAGATCCCCATAAAATCTGTAATATACTCATATTACTGTTACAAGAATATTTATGAACAAAGAAGAAGAAAAATCTGCAGAACCAATAGGCTAGAGAGATGGGTGGGAAAACCATGGAAGATTAATATTTTAAAGAGAAAAATACCAGCGAGTTCCAATTAATGAGAGGAACACAGCAACTTTGCCTTCTCTCAGCAATGCCTGACAGGTGCAGCAGGGTGATACCTAATATAACTAATCTTTGACACTAGAATTAAGTCATTTTTGCAGGAAAGCAGGTCATTAGAAGCTAAATTGAATTATAAGTAATACCATCTCTATGGAGGATTGTAAATTAATTGGTTTTTAACAATAACATTTCTGTGTTTTATTAAAGCAGTGTAAGAATTCGACGCTGAGAAGAATGCAGCAGATAAACAGGGCAGGTGTTGATGATGCAAATGAAATAGATGACAGATGGTTAGTAGTACGCTCACTCACTGTGTGTATATAATGGATGGAGGTAATCAAATTCCTCTGTGAATTGGTGACTTTCTTTACATCAAGAACTTTTAACTGAGGGATGCATGCAGAGCCTTGTCTTAAAAATTAACTCCACTCAACACCATTATCATTGTTAGATGGTTGTGTTGACATACTGGTCCCAGGATATATGATATGCAAAAGATGTAAAGCAGTATATTTCAATTAGATGAGCATCTATCAGTAGAGAATTATGCTATTCTGAAGTCCACTCCTCCTTTTTTCTCACTTGTACATGTTTACTGTTTGCAGTCAATATGGAGTTATTCATTTCTCAATTTTCTTCCACAAATAGTTCTGTGTAACTGGAACATGGACAACCCTAACCAACAAAAGCAAATCCAATATCACCTTAGTTGTTTTGTTTCCAATGGTTCAAGCAAAACACCCATTTGAACAAACCTATTATATGAATACAACATATGAACATGTGAAGCTAGACCCCTGCAGAGAGACAGAGAGATCACATAAGTGAACAACTGGATAGGGAGAAGTTTGTTCTGCTGTTTGTGCCATGTTTCTCACTGTTCATTTTAATATTTATGCCATCAACTACACAATATTCACATTAATTGGTCATTGAACTGATATTTTGGCATGAATGTGGGCATTTTGTTCAGCTAGCAGGGCTTGTGATTATTTTGTCTTTGCTTTTGGCTAGTGTGGCTGCCTAAATTATCAGTGCATGAGAGTCCAGTGAGGTTGTGTCAACATTTTACAAGACAATTCTAAAAACAGGTACAGTCAAAACAAAATTTATAATTTTGTAACGGGATTTTGATCAGCACTGTATTTGGCACATAGATGGTCTAACAGGTTACTCTCTTGTGCTCACTACCATTCACATGAAAAACAGTCATGACAATTGATTTGTGTTTGAGAAGTGATTAACTGACAAAAAAAGAGTCAACTTTTGTCATTTTCTCTTGCTTGGTGTCAGTTTGTGAATAGTAGTAACAAGAGGGTATCCTGTAGACCATCTTGACTGCTGTCATTGGTGTTGTCAACACCAACTGCCCTTTGCTATGTAAAATGTGGCATCCTTTTTCCTGCTGGCAACACAGGCACTGTATTGTGCAGCAATATTGGACTATGTTCTAGTTTTTTCAATCATGGATACAGAAGCACAATATCCCACAGTTATTTCTAAACCAGAGGTTTTTTTAAAAAAAGAATTGACCTATCCGTGAAAGCCTTTGCGAATAAATTGACCTATCCTTTTAGGCCATTGCTGGGCAGGCCCGAATAACATCACTGATAATGCACAGAATAGGGGATGATGTGGGAGTGAGCCCTACTCCTTTTGCTTGCCTCCTGCTTGCACGGTAAGGACTAAAACTGCAATGTAATTGGTAAGTTATATTTTTTAAAAGATTTTTCTCCTAGTTTCACACTATAGCACTAAATTAATACAGCATGAATTCAAATACCATGTCTTGTCAGTTCAACACTATTTCTCTGATGAAAAATGTTTAAAAAGAAGGGATTTGAATGCTGTTGAAAAGGTTGGGTAAGAGAATAGTAATAACAACAGAGAAGGTGAGGGAGAAGGCAGACTGTGATGTGTGGGACTCTTGAAACTCGCCTCCCCAAGAGGATTAAACATTTCTGTGTGAACCATGGCAGAAATTTAAATGCCATGGTGCAGTATGGAGATGTTCACATCAACCGGGGACAAACATTTGTAATCATACCTTTAATTCAAAATGAAATTGCATTGTGAAGAGAAACAAATGAGACTGACACAAAAATCTAACCACATATAACTTTTTTGCCAATATGTTTAGCATGGACTAGGGATTCATTGTAATCGCACAGTGTTGTCTACCTGTGTAATAACAAACCCCTATGAGAAAAGGCATTTGAAAAGCACATTTTCACAGAAGGCTAAATTATCAGCTTATGATCTACTTTGGGGCAAGATTTGCACTGAAAACACATTGCTCCATGATTTACCATCTATGAAATAAAAACATCCAAAATGGCTCAAACGTTTATTCAATTATAGTTACACTTACATTGTCTTTTCTTCAGTGTACTCAAGACAAGGTACAGTGGTGCCTTGACTTATAAACTTAATTGGTTCCGGAACTCCGGTCATAACTCGAAAAGGTCGTAATTTGAAGCACCATTTCCCATAGGAATTCATTGAAATGCAATTAATCCATTCCGGCCAAAGGAAAAAAATCACCACCACCACCACCACCACCACCACAACAACAACAACAACAAAACAGTGCAAGACCCGTCAGAAACACGATTAATCTGTTCCGGCTGAAGGGGGGGAGGAGAAAAGCAAACAAACTGTGCAAGATCCTTTGGAAATGCAAAAAAACAAAGCAGAAAGCAAACAAACCATGCAAGACCCTTCAGAAATGAAAAAAAGCAAAGCAAAAAGCAAATAAATCCTGCAAGACCCATCAGAAATGGGGGGGGAGACAAAAAAAACAAACAAACCCTGCAAGGCCCATTAGAAATGGGGGGGACCCCAAAAAGCAAACAAACCCTGCAAGACCCATCAGAAATAAAAAAAACCACCAAAAAACAAACAAGCCCTGCAACACCCATCAGAAATGGAGGGGAAAAAACCACAAAACAAACAAGCCCTGCAAGACCCATCACCGCATAGAAACATAATCCCACCATCCAGCCCCAAACCACACTGCAAAACCCACCCAGAACAGTTTTTTAAAAGTAGAAAGCAGCACCTTACCAGGCAGTCCAAAGCCACTTCCAATTGCACACTCTCTAACTGTTGGGGCAAAAGAGCTACAAAGAAGCAGCTTATTTGCCTACCAGGGGTTAGCAATTTGAGTTCCCCGCCTTTTTCCCTGCCCTTTTCTGGTTGTAACTCAAAGCTCTGATCGCAAGTAGAACCAAAATTTTGCAGCCGGAGCTGGTCGTAACTCGAAATGGGCGTATGTCGGGACGTTCATAAGTCGAGGCACCACTGCACATGGCCCACCTTCTTACTATGGGACTGTTACAAGAATCCCATGAAGTACACTAGGTTGAAAGATGGTGACTAGCTGAAGGTCACCCAGTGAGATGCATGGCTCAGAAGGGGCTGGAGTTCATATCAACCACTAACTATACCACAGGGGTGTTACTAAGTTTAAATTTACTCCTTGAGTGGATTCAAAAGAAAGATGCTAAAGTCTGGAGCCTTTAGAGTTGCATTTTTGTCATCTAATCACCATTTTTCATTCATCAAATTTTACAAGAGATGACACCATCTTCCTCTGTTTTCCCACTGTAGCGAACACCCTGTCGTCTTCTTCTATATATAATGGTATTGGCCTGCACCAATGGGAGCTGTTGGGAGGCAGAGCCAGAGAAACTAGAAGGGAGGAGTGAGTCTGAGTCTAGTCAATTCAGTCAGAGACAGAGTTTGGAGAAGGGGTTTAGGGGTTTGAGACAGAGGGAGTGTTTAAGAAGTGATTAGTTAGAGTGTGACCTGTATTAATTAAGATAGAAGAGGTTAAAGTAAAATACTGAAGCTTTGTGTAACGTTAAGAATGTGCTTAAGAACTATTCCTAAGACAACTTGTAATCAATAAACCTGTTTCAGTCTTTTATAGAAAATATAGGTTGCTAAAGAGATCAACTGGTTGCACCGTGAAAAAGGGTGTGATGGGATACTCATGTGAGCTCTGTGTTTGGTGAAACAAGCAGGGGCCATGGGGTGAATGTCACAATTAGTGGCCACAGTGGGATACAAAATAATCCAGTGAAGCCAATGTTTAAAAGTGAATTTTCTGGAGTCGTGGGTACCAAACTGCTATAACCTTATTGTTGAAACACTCTTTGTTCTTAGATTTACTGATGAATTTTTGATTTCTGGAAGAGGTGCTTGTGACATGTTTCTCGGATGTCAAAACAACTCAGGCAGCCTTGGACAGTATGCACCTTGTGTTGGTGTCAGTGAAGGTGCCATTTGGTCTTCACCCTCAGGCGTCAAAATATCTTGGACTGACCCTGATATTCCACCTGTTAATAATGAGAGGTATCTTCCCCTTTGTTTCTTCTCATGATATTTGTAATAATGTGGTTTGTTGAACAGAACAGAAATGTCTTATGGCTACTCAGACCCCACCATTCTCCATATGTATCTACCCTCATCATCATGATGCTGGTTTGGTGCCTATTTTTTTTCTGTTTGATTAAAATACACTGCACATGTAACTGCTTCTGGTTGAATTCAAATTTTCATTTTGTGCTGTATGGGGGGTAAAAATATAGTGTGTCTCCTCAAATGTTAAAGTAACACATGGCTGTTTTATGTTTAAAAACTTGGCAACATCACATTTTCCGCATAAAATCAGACTTCATTCAGAAACAGTTTGAACTGATGCCTTTGCTTTTATTATTTCAGGCTGTAGGTTGAGCTGGGGGGGTATCACTGCTACTGAATCAAAAACACAATGAAGTGTTCAGTTTGTGTATTTTTCCCATTGATTCCTATGCAAAATTATCACATCTTGCAAACAGCAAAAATCTGACATTAAAAGTCCTAGCTCTAGATGCCTGTCAGTCTAGTCACTGTTAAGTCTGTAATTTTGTTTTGTCTAGGTGAGTGGTTAATCACTAATCACATACTGAACAGTGGACACTATGATGTCATTTTTATATCTGGGAAAGAGTGTTACACAGATTGATCTACAACAAATATTATTTAATAGAATTCTACAGAAGAGGGGATCTGTTTTTAAAGAAACATAAAACTTCAAAGGCCCTGCAATGCCCTGGACTCTCAGGAAGTGGAGATGACCCTAACTTCTCCTCCTAACTTCTGTACCAAACTGAAAGTGTTCCTTTCTATTCCTTCCAGAATGCTTGGCAGCACTGAGGTCTACAAGCAGAAGAATGCCATAGAAGTGTGCAAACTCATAATGCTGTGTTCTCTCCTCAGATATGGCTATGTGTTGAGAATTTTAAGGGCAATAGAACCCCATTACTCTTAGGGTGATGCTGCCTGCACAAGTTACCTGGATCTAAGGCAGCTAAAGATCACCCTTAGAGTTGAGCAGTTCCTTAGCCCTTTCATTATGATCTCTGAAAAAAGACCAACGTATCTTTTGTTTCTGACAAAACATCTTAGCAAAACTGGGCACCCTATTTCATTTCAGCACAGATTTGCATGTATTTGTGTTGTGCTTGTTCTTTTATGGAGCTTTAAAACTGCAAGACATTATTTTGGTTTATTCATGTTTGCACTTATGACTGGCACCTGCAAACACTTTAACAGTTATTAAATTGTTTTATTATTTCTGCTAAGGGAAGAGCAGACTTCTCAGAAGACAAAATATGTAGGGGGGTTGTTAATTATTCTGGGGTTTGTTACTCAAAGACAAGATACAATTTGTTGTGATACATTTATGAGGTGATCCCATAAAAACCTAGATGATGAAAGCAGTGATGGGGTGAAATTTGTTTGGTTTGCATTTGAATGCAAACCAATTTAAATCACATTTACCAAAGTAATGTACAATCTGGGACACAATTATTTTTCAAACTTGCACACCTCTCTGAATTTTCTCTAATCATAAAAGTCTATGTTCTGGGAAATGGTGTAGAAAAATGAATTAATGAGAATATATACTATATGAAAAGGCATATATTTCGTATTATGTATAATTTCATATTTTATAGATAGATAGATAGATAGATAGATAGATAGATAGATAGATAGATAGATAGATAGATAGATAGATAGATAGATAGATAGATAGATAGATAGAATATGCATATGTGTTTTCATACAGTTTTTAAAAACTTTTGTCTCTCCTCCTTTTCCACAATTAGATATAGGAAAGAGATGGAACAAAATTATGCTTGAAAAAGTTGGAATATTGTAGATAACAAAGCAGACAAATTTGTTCATCTTTCTATGAATACAAGACCATTACAGTAATTACAGTGTTACAGATTAGGGATGTGTACTAGCATCAAAACTTGGATTTGGAATTTGGATTTGGAATACCAGTCTGCTGAGGGGGAAAGGTGGGGTAAAGTGGGCAGACACAGATAGGAACATTTAGGAGTCTGGCCTCTCCTGGAGGACTCTCCTGGACAACAGATCTCTTGTCGGCTTGAAGGCCAGCAAGGTATGCCAACAACCAGCTTACGTAGGGTGTCAAACTGACAATATGCCTTAGTTAAATTCTGTTTGGATTACTGTTACATGCTCTATGAGAGGCTGCCTTTGAAGATACTTTGGAAACTTCAGCTGGTGCACAACTCTGCAGCCAGACTACTGACTGGGGCCAGAGAGCATATAATGCACCTGTTAGAACAATTGCACTGGCTACCAGTCCGTTTCCAGTCCCAATTTAGTGTTCGTCATTACCTATAATGTCCTATACAGCTTGGGTCTAGGCTACCTGAAGGACCATATATGTGCTTTCTCAGCAATTAAGATCAGCAGAGCTCCAAAAGCAGCCCCCCTGGAAGGAAGACATCCAAACCTCGTTCTGATAGATGTACGCCACCATACCGAACATAACTCTAGTCTATCCATGCTGATCCTTTGGTGACCAATCACCGATCCAAGGCCACTGCAAACAGCTCTGCAGACCTCCCTGTTAACATTCCTCCGGGCAGTGTTTACGGGAAAAAAGTTCTTGCATCTCTCCATGCCAGTGAGGGATAATGGTTGACCAAACAACATGCATAGTAGGGTATGTGGCCCTCAACCAAGTGAGGCCACGAATCACACTAATGATCAAGGCCTTTCCACGTCACCACTCAAGTGTATTACCAACACATCTGGGGCATGGTGACCGAAGGCAGCTGCACGGCAAAGCTGGCCCCACAGCATTCCATGGCACTTTCTCCATTCGATCTGGCCCCGCCTGTCAAGTCCAAGATTTCTTCCGCATGGGGACATGTCAGCATACCTTGCTGCCCAAAAAGCATAGCTGTGACCCATGATCATGACATGACACCTACAAGATAAAACCAAACCAGGCCCCTGCCTAGACATTAGGGAGTGTCCTGATGTGCCTACGATTGGTAGAAAAAGCCCACCGTCCTATCCGTTTGATATCCTGTAGGCTGTAACCTAGGGCCTCCGCCGTAGATGCACCAATTCTAAAAGAGTGCGTACCGAATCTCAATCCTTGGACTCCCACCCTGTGCAGTGCCAAATCAGTCAGCTTCCAAAACTGGTACTTCGTTAAAGGGGAACTATCGCTATTGAATGAAAGGTATCTAGCATACATTTATACTTTCCCATGTTCCTTTCACCACAAAAAAAGATAATCATCTGAATAATGGGCCGTATTTTTACATCCCACTTTACTCTTAAGCTTCCACTGAAGAAATTAACTAAAACATTTGAATGCTGCACATGAAATGGAACAGCCCATGGGTAGTGCTCTGTTTATATAAAATCTTGAAAGCAAAACCCTAACAGATCAAAATCCTCTGGGTGAGCTGGCAAAATCTGGAATGCTGATTTTATGTCACATTTTGCCAAATCTGCCCCTACACCACACCTATGGGCCATGTTAACTGCCTCATCAAAGGAGGTGTATCAGACGGTACAAAGTTCCTGAGGGATGGCATCATAAACCGAGGCCCCCTCGGGGTAAGACAGATGATGGATTAGTCTAAACTCACCTTGTGCCTTCTTTGGTACTATTCCCAAAGGAGCTGTTGCAAATGGTCCCAACACTCTGCCTTACTGTACTTCCTTGAAACGGAACAGCAATTTTTTCCTGAACTATAACCTCCATTCCATGCACTGATTTAAGGCTTTGGGCAAAAAACGTTGTGTGCTCTCCAACTGCCAGTATCCTAAAGCCTTCTTTGAAACCTTCCAGCAAATAAACAGCTTCTTACCTACTCAGATAATCATGCAACCATGTTTCTAGACTGGGACATTAATTGGGCTGGATCCCTTTACCAGGGTTACCCCTGCCACCACTGGGTTTCTTCCCACTTCCGGGGCCCTTATTCTGTCTCAGGGCACCAGCCCGGAAGCATGTGGTACTGGGGTGCTGCTCACCACACACTGTACATTTGTATCTAAACCAGTAAGGTTTCTTAGAGCACGTACCCCTGGAAATGTACTCCCAACAGAACAGGCAGGGTTGAATCACCTGCCCCATGCCAACACAGGGAGTCAGATTCGGGGCAGACTTCCTGATAAGGTGCCTACTATCAGTCCTGTCACCTAAACTGGACCTGGCTGGAGTTATAATCTGCAGCCAGAGACCCGGTAGTGGCTCATCCCAGTGTAAATTTGGGTGAATCACGATCCTCATATGGATCAATTCGTCATAGGAAAGCCATGCCTGCCCTGCAAAGTCCACATATGCCCTATAAATGAGATTCAAATATTGAAATAAGGATTTAGCCCACCAAGTCTGGGCCTTTACGACCACCCCAACATATATTAGAAATCCAGGTAGCCAATTTGCCCAAATCCTGTCAGAACTCTTCCTTCTGTGTCTCTCTATTGTTCTCATCCTCCTTGTCGAGCTCCTTCTTCTCTACATCTCTATTCATTAACTCAAATAAATCTACATAGTATCTTTCTAAATTTTTCCTTTCATCGTCAGGGTGAGGTGGTCTCCCAGGGGCATTGCACAATCTCCAAATGGCAATGCTTGTAATTGCACAGTATTATACCCGGTGTCCAGGACCGAAAGGTACGGCCAAACGCCTATGCGAGCAGCCGGAGTTACCAGGACTGTAAATGTAGGTTGTGGGCATAGTGTGGCCCAGCCATTAAACTGGGCACTCATACAAGGCCACGAAGAACTCATAGCCCTGACGTTCTGGATATTATATGGTGGATAATGTAGTAAATTGCCCACTGCCTGGCCAAGGCCATGCAGGTAATTGTGAGGAGGTATCGGGTGCAGTGGCTTGTCCACTGCCTGGCCAAGTCCAGGCTGGGAACGGTGTAGTGGTGTCAGAATTCATGGTCTATGCAGAGGCGTCCAGTGTGACAGGTGACTCACCAGACAAATGTGTGGCAGCAGTCTCCTCCCTTCCATATA